CCAGCTTTAGGATGACAGCCTGCAGTCTGTTAGCCAGAAGTTTTGTGATGATTTTGATGGAATAGTTGAGCAAAGAGATTGGTCTGAAATCATTAGCATGCACATGTGCTTCTTTCTTTGGCAACAGGGTAATAAAAGAAGAGTTTATGCTCTGTAAGTTTAATTTGCCATTATAAAAATCTTCAATTAGCTTGTAGAAATCTAGAGCAATGATATCCCAACAGTGCTTAATGAAATCAGTGTTGAAGCCATCTGGCCCTGGTGCCTTGTCAGAAGGGAGATCTTTAATTACTGCATCAATTTCCTCTTTGGTAAAAGGTTTGTCAAGCTCAATTAGCTCAGGCATCTTTGTAATAAGAAAGTGCAAACTGAGAAGGTTAAAAGTGGGCACTGAAGTATTTAGCCTTTGTTTGAAAGCTCTCCATAGAATTGCAGCTTTAGCCTGATGATCATCTTGCATGTTGCCAGCTTCATCCTGTAAACTAGCAATATAGTTCCTCCTGTAGTTAATGGTAGACTTTACTTTCAGATATTTTGTATTTTCTTCCCCTTGTAAAATACATCTAATTGTTGCTCTTTGTTTCCAATAATCCCTTTGCATTTCCAACAAGTTCAGAAAATGTTGCTTAACAATTTCTCCGCCATTCCATTCAACAGTGGTTAAAGATCTGAAATCTTCAATAGTATCATAAAGCAGAATGAGTTCATTGCAAGCTTGAATAATTTTTGACAACTGAGACAGTTGTTTGGCCCAAATCTTTAAGCCTTTCCTCAACCTTTTGAGCTTGGCAGTGATTCTCTTTGCACTATCAATTTCATTGACTTCTTGTTGCCAAATATTTTTTATAGTGTCCTTGAAACTATCAATCTGCATCCAGTAATTTTCAAACCTGAAAATCTTTGATTTTGGAATCATGGTGCCAATCTTAATGATGCATGGAACATGGTCAGAAATATGCTTGGATAGAGGCAACACCATAGTGTTTGGGAAATTGGCAGTCCAAGCTTCAGAAGAGAAAACCCAATCAAGTTTTTCAAGCAAAGGTGCAGTCTGCATGTTGCTCCATGTAAAAGCTCTACCCTTCAAAGGAATTTCAGGAAGGCCCAGCTTGCTGATTGCTTCATTGAATAATAGCATATCATCGATACTACCCCTCTTCTCTATTTCTGTTATAGGGATATCTGATATAATTGAAATCCCCAAGCATCAACCAGATACAGTCATCAGGGATTTGAATATTAGAGAACCAGTCCATGAAGATAACCCTATCAGCAGAAAGACAAGGGCCATAGATGTTTGATAAAGTCCGGTTATCAGAGGAGAGTTTTGATGTGAATCAAATGGAGATGGAGAAGGAGTTTTTGGAGACAGTTTCTCCTGAGAAAAGGGAATCATTCCAGACCACTAGCAGCCCCCTGAGGCACCTACAGATGGTTGGTAGTCAAACTTATTCAAACATTTTGGGAAAAACCGCTTAAGATATCTACTGTCAAAAGTTTCCCTCTTTGTTTCCTGGATGCAAAGCAAGTCACAACCTGTCTCATCAATTTTATTTCTGATAGCTAACCACTTGTCTTTGTCATTGATGCCTCTAATATTCCAATTCAAAATTTTCCACTGCTTATTCATGGGTGAAATGCACTGATAACTTAATATGACAGATCTGGAGAATTATGCATAACTTAAAGATCTCAGTCTAATACAGAACTGAAAGTGCCAGATCAACATCTTTTGAGAACATGGGCTTACATAAAGTCACTTGATAAGACATAACCATTACATTCATAACTCAAAAGGAAACTAGAGATAGCCCCTAAGAAATCCTCATGCAGGGTTGGACAGTCCCCCCTTCTTTGGGCCCTTCTTGCTCTTTTCCTTCTCCTCTTTGTCCTTGCTTCCTTTCTTCTTCTTGGCTTGATGGAGAGCATCATCTGAATAGTGCTTCTCAGGAATCTTGCAAAAAGCAATGGAAAGATTTTTAACCACTTTGCTGGGTAAAGATGGAGGATTAACATTGCAAGGCAAGCAATTTCTATCCATGCAGGTTTTCTTTCTGTAACCATGGTTTAACTGTTGGATTCTACAACCTTTTCTCACCTGAGATTCAATGAGAGGAGCTTTATCCTTCCTATTTTTGTACACTTGGATGGCAGAAGTGCTAGAGGACATCCCAACAGATGAAGTCTTGGAGGGTGGGGTGGAAGTAATAGTGGGGGGAAGCACTTCCTTGTCTTCCTGATTTTGGCAGAGAGGCTGCAGGACAGATTCACATTTGTTAGGTAGCACAAAAGGTTTCAGTTTGGAGCTATCAGAGTGTTAAGAAATAATCTTCCATATCTGGGAGGAAAGCAACTGCTTGGCCCACTCAAATCTATCTGGTGTAAGCAGAGCAAGTGCAATAAAATTTGCCCACTCATTTGGTACCTGAATCACTTCTTTAGGTTGTACTGATGGAGCAAAGTGCTTCTTCCAGAGCTCTGCTTCTTCAGCACCAGAGTAGGCATTGAGCAGCTCTTCATGAGCTTGAGACAGAAACATCTTCTGCATAACTGTGTCTGCAGCATCAGGCAACAATTGACAAGCTCCCACATGAATAGTGTCTTTATAAATGGGAATAGGAAATCCAGGTGGGGGGGGGGGTTAGAACTACCTAAATTAGGACTAGGCAGCTCTCTAGTTAAGATGCCTTCAGTATGGTTGACTGTAGTAGGAATAGCAGCAGCTTGAGGATTATCCAGAGCGGCTCCTTGAAGTTCAGTAGCAACTACAACTAGTTCTTGCTGAAGAATGCTATCCTCTTGAGCAACCAATGGAGCCAGCAACACTTGATCATCAGCCAGAGTGTTATTAGGAAGTTGATTGACAGGATTTTGCAAGTCTGACAACTCTTGAGTTGGTTGATCTAGTGGCACCTGTGAAGCACTTGTAGCATCAGCCTGTAATGCCTGTTGCAAGAAAGTTGCAGCATCTGACAGGTGGTTTGGTTCTTGCTGCACAACCACAAATGGCAGGTCAGCATGCTGCAGAGCTGGTGGGAACTCAGGTTGTTGCAACCCCACCTCAAGGGGCATGTTAAGATCTGGAAGCTGCATCTCATGAAGTAAGACTGGTTGGTCATGTGGAGCAATCAGGTTTCCAAACAACTGAAGATTGGCAGCACCATGAATTGAGTTTGCAGATTCAACACTGTTGGAGTCAATGCCAAGAGAGAGTGTCAGGCCACTGTGATCCATCTCAATAGTTTGTGGTGCAACAATTTGCTGCTCTTGAACCAACACATTATCATTATTTGGGGGCATTGCCCAGTGGTCCCAGCCTAGATCATCTGCATTCTCCGCTTCTCCATTCTGACCATCTTGAACATTGTCAGGCTGCTCATTGTTTTCATGCTGCGGGATGGGTCCAAAGAATAGATTGTGCTTATTAGGATGGTGATGCTGCTCTGAAGGTCTTGGGTGCGGGTTGCCATCCAAATGAATGGGATCCTCATCTGGGGGTCCCCCTCCCAACAACTCTTCCTAAAAGATGATGACTGGGCAAGTCCAAGAGTCACCTTCAAAATGCCTGTCCCCAGTGACTGCCAAACTAACTGGAACATCTGAAAGAGCATCTATTCTCACTTTAACAGCTACTGCGGCATCAGTGGTTTTCGCGCGGTCCCAAGAAAGCAACTTTCCAAAACTCGAGACAGCATTGTTGAGCTCATACATGCAACGAAGATCTACTGGGAAACCAACTAAAAGTAGCCAACAGTCTCTGGCCAGATTAAACTTCCTCCAGTTCAGGCCTTGATCATGCTTTTGGAAAATGATGTGAATGTCATCAAAAGGGTGAGGGCTCCTATTGATCAAGGAATCTTTATCTGCTTTACTATTGCATCTGACAAATGCTTGACCAAAGGGGCATTTGGAGATAGACGAGCACACTACCCTTTGTGAAACCAACAAATCACTAAGAACCTCCCAGACATTGGCAAATGCGACTTCACCTTGGGGCATTGGCACCAGAGTGGCGATGACAAGATTTTCGTTGGACAGCTGCACATCTCCATGGATGACACAAGCGCGCGCTGGCCTCCCTTCCACCTCGATAGCTTGAGTGCCAGGGAGAAGGAAAGGCGTAGGATCGAAGGGAAAATTTGCCATGGTTGACGACATCGCCGGAGCAGAGCTGGTGGGATGGAGCAAAGAAGAAACCTGTTTGGAGGATTTGATGGATGAGACCGAGGAGGGCGGTGAGAAAGAGTTGGGAAATGAGCATTGGTAGAGTCCCGAACAGAGAGCAATAAATTTTCTGCAGGGCCGTCATTATAGAAAGACGGAAAGATAGGGCCACTGAGAATTGGGTCCCGCCGACCACTGTTACCGGATTCCCGATTATCTACCAGAATGGGGGGATTTGCCATGTCAGATGAGGAAGGTGGAACGACGATCTCGACCCGGAATCTACAGTTGACTGCAATATGCCCCCATCTGTTGCAAGCCTTACAACGAATTTTGTTCTGGCATTTGGGCCTTAAGTGGCCCGTCATGAGGCAGCGAACACAGAAAAGGCCAGATACCTTATGGGCTGGGCGGCCCATAGGTTCAAAACGTGCAGATCCCGCCCCACCCAACATTGTATTATTAGGCGAAGTAAAAACGCAATTAAATGGGCTCCTTGACTGCTGCCTGGCTCGATCATCGGAATTTTGCGTTGTTTGCGAAGAAAAGAATTGTGGCTGTTGAACAACTTGAGCATATGATCGACGAGATTTAGCACTGGACACTACGGTCCAATTTTTGCTGGCTGCATCATGATAACGGAGGTAAAGATCCTTGAGATCATCATCCCCCTCTCCCCACAGAAGAAAATTCATGGAAAAAAGATCGGAAGACAAATTACCGCCCCTAATGATTTCAAATCCCACTTTCGGAGAAGAAACACATAACTTGTATGACCAATTACGCAGATGAGATACCTTAAAAACTTGGCAGAGCCACCAAAGCAAGCTTGAATGATGAGGCCCACCGATTCTGGATTTAGCTTGATCAACGATCGTGTGATTTCCACCACGAGGAAGAACTTTGGTGATCTTGGCGCATCTTGGGCATTGACGACTGCATTGCACTACTTCTTGATGTATTCTTCAAAAGCTTTCCCAAGGGAGAAGTTGAGATCGGAAAGGGCCATACTGAAAAGTGGCCGCCGAGATCGGAGTGATCACCGGCGGGAAGTGGCCACCGGGGTCGGAATGACCACCGGTGCAGCGAGGCCTGGTGGCCGCCGGGGCCGAAGTGGCCTTCGACGGGAGAGCGGGGCAGGGGCTAGGCTAGGCTAGACTAGAGCGGTGCTACCTACTGCCATCGTTAGCTCTCTTCCAGTGCGGGATCTGTTTTTCCCGAGTGCTGGGATTGCTTCTACCCCGGAATCAAAGCTGTCCTGCAAAAAAGAAAGAAAAAAGAGTCAAGATGCATCCACCATGTTTCATTCACCATTACCAGGCACCAAGTTCCAACTGTAAATCTCAGCAAAAAAAAAAGTTCCAACTGAAAAAGAAAGTTCTCGTTGTGATTTTTCGGTTTGGCAGGCCCATTCGACACATCTAGTGGGTTCTTCAAAATGTTTGCAAGCTTTATCTCATTTTTCAGAACCGAAGAAATGCAGGTGAGTTGTCTGTTTCCTTGTACCTAGTTGTGAGTTGGGAAGGAAGAAGGATGGGTGCATCACAGCAAACGATGGTGTGCCATGTTTTCCTCGCCTAACAAAGAAAGCTCTGCTCCATCTCCATGTAGTAGGTGTTTCATTTCCTCCTTGTACAAGGCTGGATCTCAACATTGCATCTTCATCTACAACACTCCTACCAAACTTTGTCTGGAGTAGCGCCAGGTGGCGGTTTTTGTGCTCGTAAAGGGGTTCCGTTCATCCCACCGACACGTTTTTTTCGGAGGGAAAACCGACACGGTTTTCTTCACCAGTATGCGAAGGGAAAAAGAAGTGGTGGAAAAAAAAAGGGTGCAGCCGTCCGAAACCGTTGACCCGTCGCATCCCCCGGGGTGGGCTGGTGCGTCGGTGCTAAGAAACCAACCAGCCACCAATTCTCCAATACAAAACAACCCATTTCCACTTCCACTCGCATCCTCCTCGCTTCCCCAGATCCAAATCGCGCGCGAGAGAGCAAAGGGAGGAAGAAAGAGATCTCTCCCAGCGCCACCCCGAATCCGCCATGGCCTCGGCCGCGCCGCCCCTCCTCCCCACCACCGTCCCGGCCGCCGCGCCCGCGACCGTCCTCCCCGCCGCCCCGGACGCCGCCGCCGCCAACTCCATCGCCTCCCCGGACCCGGCCGCCACGCGCGCCTTCCTCGGCCGCCTCTACGACTCCGCCAAGCGCTCCCTCTCGGGCGCCCGCCCCTGGCCCGAGCTCCTGGACCGCGCCGCGCTCTCGCGCCCGGATTCCCTCTCCGACGCCACCGCCCGCCTCCGCAAGAACCTCGCCTACTTCCGCGTCAACTACGCCGCGCTCGTCGCGCTCTCCCTCGCGGTCTCCCTCCTCGCGCACCCCTTCTCCCTCGCCGCCCTCCTCGCGCTCCTCGCCGCCTGGTGCTTCCTCTACCTCCTCCGCCCCGCCGACGCCGCCCCGCTCAACGCCTTCGGCCGCACCTTCTCCGACAGGGAGACGCTCGGGGGCCTCATCGCCGCCTCCGTCTTCGTCGTCTTCCTCACGTCTGTCGGTGGGATCATCTTCTCCGCGCTGGCGCTCGGCGCCGCCGTCGTCTGCGCGCACGGTGCCTTCCGCGTGCCTGAGGATCTGTTCCTCGACGAGGTGCCCGACCAGGGCCTCGTAGGAAACGGCGCCACCATCAACCTCCTCTCCTTCATCAACGGCGCTGCCGGAGGAGGAGGACGCGTCTGAGCCAGCCTCCTGTCCTCAGCTCTCTGATCTGCTACTCGGAACAGACAAGTAAAGTCAGTGGCTGGTTGATTCGTTTTTCCAGAAACGAAGTACTTCTACTTGTTTATTAAGATCATACTACGCGTTGCCTTTAAGAGCGTGAGGAGGAGATTAGAAGAGGATGCATTGGAGTTATACTACACACAGGATATACACAAAAGAAGGAACCTTGGGATCTAGTTTTGTTTCATTTTGCATTTGATATTGCTGTATGATGACAAAGTTGAGCTTATTAGTATTGATATTCATATGATATGTGTCTTGGTGTTACTAGCATACAGGACAAAATAAATTGCTGCTCCTCGTCTTAACATAAAAATGAAATATATGATGATTAAGTACACCATTTCTTTTCAAGAGATCGATCAATGTGATTTCGCATATGATCTTGATTCTGGCGTGGAGGATCTTGGGTCTAGGTGATTCATTTCGATCATAGTAGAGTTCTTCTTTTCTATGCTAATGTATCTTGCATCCTTCTTGGAGTGCCCTGTTTATTCTTTGACATTGGAGCTGGATATCATTTGTAAGTCTAGTCTCGTTCTTATTTAAAAAAAAATATAATGCTATCATCGATCGAATTGCAATGACAGATAAATAACGGAAATGAATATTTTTTTGAGAATTCACGGAAATGATATTTAGCTGACGTAAAAAATCTGGCTGCTCGCAGCGAACGTTATCATCAGGTTGCCATGTTACGGTGCAGCAACCGTTCGCAAGAACATGGGCACCTGTGAACGAACCCTGTACCGGCACTACTCTCTCCTTCCTCTCACTCTCCGCATTATGTGCCACCCTCCTCCCTTCCTCTTGACTTCACTCTCCTCTGCGACAACGGTTCGAGGTGGTTGCCGATTCCTCACCATCGAATCGAGCGCCGTTGGTTGCTACCGTTGAGAGCCGCTCCCCTCCCCCCTCCCCCCCTTTTTTTGCGAATCAAGAGCTTTATAACTCAATTAGGCTATGTTCGGTTATCTCCACCCCCGCCGGGATCGGAGACAAAACTCATCGATCCTCATGGGTTTCGTCCCGGCCGGGGTTAGATCCCGGTCTGGCCTATAGCAGCCTTCGGTTAGACCCGGCCTGGATTAAGTCCCTCCCAAATCCCTTCAAAACCCCGTGGAAACAGCCGGGAAATGGCCCACGCGTCTCACCCCATGGAACGAAACCCCGTCTCTCTCGCGAGCGAAACGGTACGCTCTCTCTCGCCTCAACCCCTCGCTCCCTTTCTCGAATCTCAATTTCACGGGGAGGTCAGCAGCAGCGCTACTGGAGGAGACCGCGGCGGCGTGCCTCCCTTTCCCCCTTCCACTTCCCTGTCCAAGCGGCGCCACCGCATCTAGTCGCAGCAGCATGAGCTCGGCGGCGATCCGGAGCAGCCGCGACGCGAGCTATGGAGACCGAAGAAACCCATTCCGGCGTTACCTTACCCCGACAGTGGACCAATAATCCCTCCCTCCTATTCTTGATGCCCCTCTCACACCCTTAATTCCTAGGGTTCATAGACTTTGATTTGAGGAAATTGGTGATACGGGATGATTTTTGACTCCCTCTGATGATGCAAAAGCAGCTGTGCTTTTGAGTTTGTTGTTGTGGTACCTATGATGCTACCTTTGACGTCCTTGGCATGTCTAATTGAATGAGCTGACTGCTAAATTTTTGCCAAAGGAGTGAGGTAGTGACCGAACAGAATTTAAGACAAAGGGATTTGTGGTTAGGGTGTTGGCGGGGGGTGGGTGACATGAGGGGATTCACCCAATCCCTGCAGGGGTTGGTTCCCCGTGTGGATGGAAACCCCATCAACCGAACGAAGCCTTAGGGGGGATTACACGGGAGCTGAATACAACTAGCTAAGAAAGGAGGCATATAATTTATCCACAAACATCTCCTCCTCTCTTCTGTCGCTTGCTTTGCACACCGATGGGCCGTTTCATTGGCTTCCCTATGTACAAACACCAGACCACAACACATAAATCCTCCCAAAAGCTCTTTGATTTCATGGCAAACAGCTGCATCTGATGCTCTCTCTGAAAGTTCAGAGTTGCACATCCTAACCACCTACTGAGCATCACTTTCAACACATATCCATGAGTAACCCATGTCTCTGGCTAGTTGAATCCCGTCCCGGATAACGTACAACTCCATAGTTTGGGCACTTGATGCAAAACGATACCACAAGGCCTGCACTCTAATTAGGTTGCTTTCTGAGTCTCGGACCACCAGCATTGTACTTCCACACCCTGCCTGCTCAAGAAAAGCCGCATCCACATTGATTTTCAGAGTCCCTTGTTCCGATGCTTGCCAACGATCTTCCTCCCTGGTCACCACATGGCGGGTAGTTTCCCCTGCTGTAGTAAGGTCAACAACATTATCAAGAGCCCATCGAACAGAAGCTTGAACTAATCGTCCCTTCTCACCATGAGTACGAGCATTCCTTTCAGACCATACCGCCCAGCAGCCACATAGTACAATGCATACAAATTGGTCCTGTTGATTCCTCGGTTGAATGTTGCTTGAGGGCTGCTCCCCTGCTTCCACAATGCAACATTGGCGGAGGTCCGTTGCCACACACACACCTGCACCCTTTTCTCCTTTGTTCCTGTTGATTCCTCGGTTGAATGTTGCTCGAGGTCTAGTTGTCATTCATGGCTGCGACAACGGCTTTCAATTCGGTCGTTGATGACGAGTTTGTGGCCAACAACGGTATTCATGCATTTTGGGTGTTGGTGGTTGCCGATGATGGCCGGGGTTAGGGTTTTCGGTTTCGTCTCGTGCAGGGGGAGGGGGGGGGGCATATTCGTCGGGGTTTGCAGTGCGGCGGCGACCATAGTGGATTTATTTGGTGAGAGGGATTTGGCCGTTTTTGTGGGAGGGGTTGTAGTGGAGTTGGAGATTGTAGTTGGCACGTATCCGTTTTGTTTATCGAAGTGATTTATCCCCTTATTCTCATGTTATCAAGTTAGAATTGAAAATTTCTGCTGTGTGTGGGGTAGTTTGGTATTTTCTATTGATCGTGCAGATGGTATTTTTTGGCCATGTTTAAGTCATATGACCGTCATGTTGTGCAATTTCCGTATGTGCATACGAGAGACTAAATTGCCATGGCATTTGTGCATATCAAAGACAAAATTGCTAGGGTGTATGTGTGTGATAGATTTAAATCGCCATACTCTGTTTTTGTTTGATAGACAAATTCACATGCTCTATTTTTGTGTGTGAGGGTTAAACTTGTCATTGCATTCATGTGTTGAGAGGCAAAATTGACATGGGGATATGTTTGTGTGAGAGACTTACAATGACATGGGTATATGTTTGTGTGAGAGACTTACAATGGAGGCGTCACTGATAACGTCATTTGTGCATGTCAATTGTGTGCGGACATGAACAAAAGAGGCAAAATATCCGTCCATTTTTGTGTGCGGACGGTTCGAATCGGCTAGTTGGAGTTGCTCTAATGAGGATCATCGCAGATGGGCCACATTGGAGGCGTCACTGATAACGTCATTTGTGCTTGGATGGATGGTTATCACAGACCAATCTTTAATTGACCTGTCAGTGAAAGTTTCTCTCAGAAAAGCAAAGTGGACGGATATTTAGTATTGACGGCTTGTTATGGTTGACTCATCTATGTTGATCGATTAAATCTGACTCTTCGATTTCTCGCCGGTTAGTGTTGTCATGTACGCGACAAGTTATAATCCAACTCCACTCCCTGTCTCCATTTCAAACCCTCGCTGCCGCGCCGCCGATCCCTTCTCTTAGTTTTCACTCTCTCCGGCCATGCAACCCGCTCATCTCCATCACATGAGCATCCCCCAACCCTCTCTTCCCTTCCGGCGCTCATCCATGCCGATGGCCCTGATGTTGTCCTGGATAAGGGGGTGCTAACCATGTCGGCTCCAGAAGACGTGGGCCGGGCCAAGGACCCCCAAATGACCAGCCAGTGGGCCACATTCGTCAGGCCTCATGATGGAATCAAGATGGAATCTTCCGAAGATTTGACGCATACTCCAAGGGACAAATGCAATCTTTGACACGTTTTATCTTCAGACATAACCGACCTATGTGTAACCCTAGGTACCCCCGATATCTATATAAACTGAGAGGTGTAGACCGTAGAGGGAGAACTCATTCATACACGATCTCAAGGTAGATCAACCTGTACTTTGTACCTTATCCACAATCAATACAAACAAATCAGAACGCACGGTTTTACCTCTTCGAGAGGGCCCGAACCTGGGTAAACATCGTGTCCCCCTTGTGTCATATAACCATCGTGCCAAGGCTACCAGCTCGGGACCCCCTATCCGAGATCTTCCGAATTCAATTCTGTCATTGTGGCCCATACATGTCCCTCTGTGTAGTCAAAGCGGCTCGATGGCTCACGTCCAGATTGACGATAGCGTAGGCTGTGGCAAGAATTTTCTGCCCGGACAACTCTTTGTCTTCGGGAACATTATGCTTCATGTTGATTCAACTAGCCACCTTGGATCATTAGATTCAGAAACCTGGAATATGCCGCGGACTCTTGCGACGAACTCGCGTTTTCGATGTTAGACAAGACCGAAGACGACACTAATACTCCCGTCCAGATCTTGGACTTGATCTCAGCTCAGGACCATGGCATAGATCATACCTCGGATTCGACCTTGAGCACTGAGCTGAGCACCACCCCCGTGGATCAGACATCTAGCTTGACCGACAATGATCCTAAAATCATGACAGATCGGATCTCGGACAGACTCCAACTGAGCCCAACCTTCAACCAGGTCATGGGTGAAGGTAATAAGGCTCCCCCTAAATGAGATGCCAAATCAGATTTGGAATCTCGCAATCTTGGACGATCGAAACTCCGTGTACGATCAGATCTAGGAGAAGTCATGAAAGGCTGGAATTTTTGGCCCACCCACCACCCACTTAGTCGCTATAATCAAGGACTTAACCGACGTTCTAGCCAG